AAGCCCTTCCAGACCAGGCTGCAGTTCTTGCCCCTTTCTGCTTCTGACATGAGATGTTAATGAATCATTCATCAGGCTAACATTGGGTTAGGGAACACTGAACTGCTTTTCTGATCCATGATCAATCATTATTCTTCTAAGAGATCAGAGCTTTGCTGTTTCATTAACTGTGCAGTGTAGACTAATGGTGTTTAATAAAATTTATTCAAAATTTCAAACTCTTTTGCCAGTGACCTCAGTTTTTTTTTTTGCTCTTTGATTTGTACCAAACTTTGAGGAGGGAAGAGGGAAGCAAAGAAAGCCTGCCTGATACCAGGCCTCTGGCAAGATGCTGCAGTGGCAAACCCATTACATGCCAGCACTTGCAGCAGCAGCATGCAGACTAGCTATGGGAAAACTCCTGAAGAATGTCCCAGTGGATGCTTTCAGCTGGGGATAGCTTGATCCTACTGACGGATTTGTTCTCCAGCCTCTGCAGCAGGAATCCACAGCTGAATAAGAATTGCAAATGCTTAACCTATTTGGTTTTGGCATGCATCACACATGTGGCTCCCCAATAGAAGTGTCTCTGAGAGCAGAGCTCAGTGGGGTGACAATGAATAGCCAAATACACCCCAGATGCTCATGCCTTTCTGTGGCCTTGTAGTACTTGTGAGATTAGTGGAAGAGGAGCCCCCAGGCAGGAGGCAGAATTGGAAAAACTCCCAAAAATGCTGAGTTGGTGCCGTATTGTCCAGATCAAGAGTCAGCTTCTCCTTCAGTGAGCTGGGTATACAACCAGTAGTGAGCTGGTAAAATATTTAACAATCAGCTCTCTGAGAATATAAAACACTTGATTTGTGGCATTTGCCAATTTCTGTGGTATAAATACTCCCACCACAGATTATTTCAAACTGCTGTGCTATCACGGAACACAGAGCTGGGAAGAAATGTACACAACTTGGGAGACTGGGCCTGTCAGCTGTAACACAGTACTGAATATAGCAAGTCAAAGAGGATTTGGATTTCACATTTATGTTAATGTGAACACACACAGAAATACACATTCACACAGGTGCACACACATACCCTTCAATAACAAGCTATTACATCATTTAAAAAAATGAATCAATCTTCTGTAAATGTAGGTAGTTTATGATGAGGCCCTAGAGATATGACTTTTAACCAGTGGATAGCTGAAAAGAATGAAGCCCTTTTGGCCTCAAAACACTTGTGGATCAGTGGGGGTAGTTTGGCTATCTCCACATCCTGAAGGTAAAATGGAAGTGAGATAAATACGTAGAAAACCCTCATGGGTGGTTTAAAATAAGCATAGAAGAGAATGTTATTATTTTTACGTGTCCAAGTGGTATTTCTAACATTTAAATCTAAATTGGATAAATTATTTACTATTGTTCCTTATAATTGGTAGCCTTTGCGTAGTTAGGGAACATGAGGGCTTCTATGGAAAATAACACAGTCCAAAATGTATTGGGCTGTTTTCTCATAATATGGAACCTCAGTAATTCTCTCCATCTCCCCAGTGTTGTTTAGAAGGTTTTTACATTAGTTATTAGGTATTGAAGTTATTCATTTAACATATGTTTTTAGTTAAAAGTACCTACTTACTGTCCTACCTCTGAATTCAAACCAGAATCTCCTGTATCAATTACATGATTAATATTCAGAAATAATCATCAAAAATAATTCCCTTTTCTACCCAATATAAACAAAACCAAGGTCACTAACAAGAAAGTATAAACTTAAATATATTTTCTAAGAGAATGAGGTTTTCATTAAAGACACACACACATCTTTTTTATTAGAGCTCTTCATCATAAATCACCCTGAGAATAGAATAGAAAGTCTCAAAGGACCCTTTCTCCTGGTTCTGTGCATCTTTTGCAGCTAAATAAGAGGTTTACATCTGGAAAGGTTGAAGAACTTGTCCTGAAATCCTATTTTTCTTTACATTTCAGTGTTATGCCCAAGCCTGTGTCCATGGTCAAATGTAATCCCTGGAGGAGATCTGTGTCTTACTTTTTCTGTCTGGCCTTTCTTTTGCCCCTGTGCAATAACAAGGTTTGTGCTGATTGGAGAGTGATAACATCTGGGGCTGATTTAATTGACATTACACTCACACAGGGACTTGGAGTCCGCCTAGGCAATGGACTGGTTTGCATGCATATAGAGAGCTGTGGTTGTGTTTATCATCATCATCCAGTGGTTCCCTAATTCAAAACCATCCTCACTAATCAATCACATTCACCCACAAATATTACAAATAACATTGATTCTGTGTCAAGACGATTTGTCATGTAGTTTTCTTCCTGGATGATTCTACTCTGGATATTTTACAAAGAGGAATGTCTGCGATGAAATCCCTTACGATTATTCAGTTCTACAAATTGCTGTTTTTATTCCTATTTTCATCAGAGTGCTTCTGAAGATTGTTAGATGTAGTAATGTTTTATGATAAAACATCAAAAGTGAGCCCAGGACAGATACCAAGAAGGCTACCTGGCACTGGAAGACACCTAAAATTCTCCCCTTTGCACACTTGGTTAGTTGAGTGACACATCCTTGGGATTCTTCAAAGAAGAGACTGGTTTCTTCTCTGTTCTTGTGGTGATAGTTGTGGTGGTGGTTGTTCTGGTTGTGGCTGAAGTTGCTGTCTCTCTCTCTCTCCCTTCTCCTCTCTCTCTCTCTTTCTCTGGCTCTGGGTTTTGCTTTCCCTCTTGGGTTTTTTCTCTCTCTAAAAAATATAAATAGTTGAATTAAATGTGAGCTTCTGAATTGTACTTGTTCATGCTTTTAAGACATAACAAATTAATTTTAAAAAGTAGATGTGTACTTATTTAAAACATGCCACCTGGAAAGGTATGCTGTAATATGAAACCATATTCTAATAACTACATTATTACATGGCAGTATAAATATTAGTCTCTTGAACTCATATGTCCAACTGTATAACTTTGTGAAGCAGTGTTTTTACCTTTATGACATAATTTTGGAGCAAGTGGTGTTGTTGCAGGCAGATGAGAGAGTTTATATCAGGATTTTTCAACCAACTTCAGTTGATTGAAATGGCAATGGCAAGCATCTTCAGATGTTGCTGTAACCATTATAGATATGAAAAACACATTTCTGTTCAAGAAATTTCCCAGAACACTTCAGTCAAGCTGCCGGTTTTTTAGGTTCATCTTTTTCTTTTTTATTCCTTTTCCTTTTTCTTTTCTGAAGGGGTTCCTTACAATTTGACTGAAGAAATAGTTTGATTGATTGCTTTGTGTATTTCTTCTCTCTCTCTCATTAAAATATTGAGATCTGGAGTCTTTGGTTAATCTGCATTAGACCATTCTACAGGCCAGAAATGATAACTGAATATAAGTAAACATTAATGGGTTTTCAAAAAGGAATACCCCATGTTCATGGGGTATATCTATACCCCACACTGACAAATGCTAAGGACAGACATAGCTTTTGCAGAGAGGAATATTTATAATATCCTGAGGCCTAATGCAGTTTAACAAATGAGTCCACCTGTTTTTTCAGTAAGTTACTTGAGTGAGACTTGAAAAATATCCCTGAGACTTGCCAGAGCTTTCTTCTGCCTGGTCTGCAGTGTGTGTGTTTGCTTGGTATCTGAGAGGCACATTCATGTCTTGTGTGCTCATTTGAACTATTTCCTAACATTCCCATTAGCTTGTATATAAGAACCAGAAAGATAATCCCAACATGTTATAAATGAAGATGTGACTCTATAAATCTGTTTTGTTCTTAAATAAAAGAAGACATTTTCATGCATATTTTAAACAGAAACTTCATATATTTAAGTGCCATGGAAAATACTTATTGAGTAACCTGGATACAAATGGAAATTTAAATGTC